GGTCACATCTATTGACCCTGATACTTCAGAAAGGCCAAGATGGTCACATCTACCGACCCTGATACTTCAGAGAAAGGCCACGATGGTCACATCTATTGACCCTGATACTTCCGAGAAAGGCCACGATGGTCACATCTATTGACCCTGATACTTCAGAGAAAGGCCACGATGGTCTACCACATCTACCGACCCTGATGCTTCAGAGAAAGGCCACGATGGTCACATCTATTGACCCTGATACTTCAGAGAAAGGCCACGATGGTCACATCTATTGACCCTGATACTTCAGAGAAAGGACACGATGGTCACATCTACCGACCCTGATGCTTCAGAGAAAGGCCACGATGGTCACATCTACCGACCCTGATGCTTCAGAGAAAGGCCACAATGGTCACATCTATACAGTCAGGAACGGTGAGGGGAGCCGGTAAGAATAGTTGCTGATGGGTGTCCGTGGCTCCTTGGGGGACGGGTTCCTTTGTAGCCAATGACTTCTCATGAAGGAAATGACAATTATACTGACCCCCCCCCCCCCCCCCGGTTCACGACTTGGGCGAAGGGCATCAGTGGACACGCCCCCATGCCACCCCACCCACCATGGCCCTGGCTGACCTTTCTATCACCCCCGGGGATATGGTGGTTCCCCTTCAGCGGACTGACCAGAGGTCACATCACCATGGTGCCTCCTACCCAGGTTTCGGTGGTAACCCATAGCAACCACATACACCACACAGGGGAACAGCGCTGTCTGGTTGTTATGGGTGACCGCACCGAGCCCCCGAACAGCTGGGACACGAGGGGTTAACCCGCCACTTACCGTGCCTCACACACCGATATTCGCCGAGCACTCAAACCCACTTCGACCCCCTTTCCGGTTCATGGACCGCACCTCACTTCCGCACTGTGCGTTCCACGCCTCAGGACGAGGGAACCACCTGAGACCAACATGGCCACCGGGGTCCGTCTGTGCCAGCGCGCATGCCCTGCAGTCTCACAGGGACCGCCGCCCATCTTTGTTGTATTGAGGAGGCAGAAAAGGGCGGGGACTGTGTATTAACCCTTTAATGTGCCCACCCACCCCTACAGTCACCATACTGTCCTCCTCACATTTTTCTTGCATTAAAGTCTATGTCAGCACATTTCCCCTTCAAGTACATAAAAATACCTGCTATCCTCCAGAAGCACTGAAATAAATGCCCGCTAAAACGCTCTGTTCTAGTTGTGGGTGGGGTGAGAGCCCCTGTCAGGTTTTTTTCTGCTACAGAGATTTCAATTCCTGTCCTGGTGACAACAGTTTCGCAAGAAAAGAAGTGAGGGGAACTCTCCAATGGCAACACAGACGTTCCCTCACTTCCTGTCCAGTGGAAGATTGTTAGGAGGACAGGAAGTAGGGAACGTCTGTGTTGCCATTGGAGAGGGGAACTCTGGAGGACTAATTGTTCCCCTGCTATGGGCTCCAGGCAGCCATCTTGGGAGGGCAGCATATCTTCTTGGTGTCCAAAATCCCATGAAATTTAGCCATCTTGACTGAGAAAGATATAAGTAAGAGATTCTACGTCATCTGATGTGGGGGTCAAATAGGGGCAAAGGCCCTGCAGGTTCGGGAGAGAGTCGGATTGGCGTTAGGGAGAGGTACCCCTCGAGGAGTGAGCCATTTCAGTCCAGGAGAAGAGCTGGTACAACAAAGACCAAGGAGAAGGCCAGAGGTCAACTCATAAAAAACTGTATTGGAAATGAGAATCAAGAAAAATTTGAAGGAAAGAAAAAAAAATCAGTAAAAAACAGTAGTGGTGTTGGGTCAATATTGGTTACACTTTTTACGTCACCTTTTTTTAATATTAATATTTTTATTTGACTTATAAACATTTATGGCAGGAGGCCTCCATGAGATGCATTTTTGGCGAGCCAGTAGGGTTGTTCCATTCCCTTCAAGATACTCAAATCGGGGTTGTCGCACGAGAACGACATTCGATACAGAAAATATCTCGACAGACAATGACATGGTGAAAGACAACGAGCCGACAAAGAGAGGGGAACGGCAAGGGGAGCCGGGAACGGTGAGGAGACAGGGGAACGGTGAAGGGAGCCGGGAATGGGGAGGGGAGCCAGGAACGATGAGGAGACAGGGGAACAGTGAGGGGAGCCAGGAACGGTGAGGGGAACGGGGAGGAGAACCGGGAACAGTGAGGGGAATGGGGAAGAGAGCCAGGAACGGTGAGGAGAGGGGAACGGTGAGGAGAGAGGGGAACAGTGAGGGGAGTCAGGAACAGGGAGGGGAGTCAGGAACGGTGAGGGGAGAGGGGAATGGTGAGGGGAGCCGGGAACGGTGAGGGGAGCTGGGAACGGTGAGGAGATAGGGGAACGGTGAGAGGAGACAGGGGAACGGTGAGGGGAGCCGGGAATGGTGAGAGGAACGGAGAGGAGAACCGGGAATGGTGAGGGGAATGGAGAGGAGAGCTGGGAACAGTGAGGGGAACGGGGAGGAGAGCCGGGAATGGTGAGGGGAGAAGAGAACGGTGAGGGGAGCCGGGAACGGTGAGGAGAGGCGGCAACGGAGAGGAGAGCCTCGAACGGTGAGGGGAACGGGGAGGAGAGCTGAGAACGGGGAGGAGAGCAAGGAATGGTGAGGGGAACGGGGAGGAGAGTCGGGAACCCAGGTTTCGGTGGTAACCCATAACAACCATATACACCACACAGAGGAGCAGCACTGAGTGGTTGCTATGGGTGACCGCACCAAGCCCCCGAACAGCAGAACGACATAGGAGGGAGTTATAAACATTTATGGCAGGAGGCCTCCATAATATGCATTTTTGGCGAGCCAGTTGGGTTGCCCCATTCCCTTCAAGATACTCAAATCGGGATTGTCGCACGAGAACGACGTTTGATACAGAAAATATCTCGACAGACAATGAAATGGTGAAAGAAATGATGAGCCGGCAAACCCCTGGCGTATATCCAAAAAATTCCATCTCTACCATCAGTGGATGCTCATTCTTCCACACTAGAAAGTGTGGTCCTGTTTTGAGCGTCAAAATGTCTGCAAGAAAATGGCCACCCGTCTGTGGGATCACATGGCTTTGAACCTAGTGTTTGTCCTCCTGTCAACCTGTGGCCATGTTGAATGCTGGCAATGCCCACACTCTGAACCTTTGACGATCATGTGACTAGAGAGGGAGGAGTAGAACTAGATCACAATGTCCTGAACCATAGGAAGCACTCAGGGGAAGTAGATGAGTAATTTGGAGTCATGGCTGCCCCCAGAGAGAAAAAACGGTTCTGGTCAGTATGTTGGTTATTTTGATGATGTGTTATTGTTGTGCGTAGAGATACTCCATACAGGTCGTACGTAAAATTAGAGTGCGCTGATCTGTATTGACTTGCTAAAAACTTGTGCGCCCTTTACTGCATGCTCCTTCAGGTTAGGCAAAGGCGCACATCCATCAACACGTGCCAAAGCATCCAAATCCAAAAATAAATTATTCTGACCCTTGATGTGTGTTGTACAGAAAATATGTGTTTGTAAACGCAATTCGATGAGTTACAAAAAAGCAAGTCATCGCACTTTAACGTGCAAATTTTGTGCGTTGCGGTGTGAATGAGCCCTTAGGGCCATGTTTTTACTAATGTGCATCTGTTGCAGTCTCTTTTGTCGCGAGGCAACAATTGAAAGGTACGTTGCGTGGATATTTACATCCTCGGACAGTTAAGGGTTGGATTAGTAATGACAATGAAGGTGTAAAATGTTCAAAAAAGAAAGCCAATGTTCCACCCAAAATTGAGACCAAGATCCACTATGACACAGTGGCGTTTTCAATGCGTAGGGGTACGGCACCTTCTCCACCTTCCAATATGACGTGTGTAAGCTCATTCTACCTTCAATATACAGAGGAACCGTTCTCTAGACACTGTACCAAGAAATGGGAGCCACCATTATAAATCTTTGGGGGTGATGGAGAAGCCAAGATTCTCCACTGGGACATATGCCTTGAGTCTCAGTATTCCTTAAGTTCTTTAGCGGCACCTCATCTATGGACGTGTCTACCCTTTGAGCATGGTAGAATTGTTTTGGCCATTTCTTTGAATTCCAGTTTTAGTTGCTGGGTTTTTTTTGGATGTTTTTTGGACATTCAACACCTGCATTGTCATTAAGCAGCCTTTCTCAAACTTTATACCCTAAAGGAAGCCTAAAACTAATTTTTTAGGTCTCCGGGAACCCCTGCTAAAATCAATTCATTGGGAATGATTGCAAAAAAACACCCCTTATATTGGTGGCCAGTGGAAATAATGCCAGCTAAAAAGATCACTTGTGTCCTGCAGCTGGCTCTGCCAAGTGGTGTTGGCCTCAGAACTATCAAAGCACCATCAAACAGAAAGTCAGCCACAGCTCAAGGAAGCCCTAGGAACCTCTGTGAGAACCTCAGGCTTTCACGGAACCCTGGTTGAAAACGGCTGTTTGTTATGTATCCAGTATCTTTGGACTTTCAGCTCATTGGTCTGGTGCTCTTTTTGGACATTGTATTTGTAGCTTCCAAGCTGTAGGTCCCCTGTTTGTATGGGCACCTTGTTTGTGTTTAACAATCCAATACACCCCATATGAACCTGTTTGATCCTCCTAAACCATGATCCATTGATGGGTCAACTCCAGTACCTTGGTTACTCAAATTCTAGTTTGTTATTTAGGATGTCACTGTCTATTTCTCCATGCAGGAGTAGGAGTATTTAGAAGGACACAAAGATCTCTACAAGGACGTCATGATGGACAATCAGCCGCCCCTCACATCACCGGGTAAGAGGAGACTTTATTGGAAAGGAGAGAGCAGTACGGAGGCTCCACCTAGATCTCCCATCATCTGATAAACACATAGAAACAATGGATTCAGTCAGTGTGTGTGTTTCCTACAGATGGATCCAGTCATGGAAACCCACCAGAGAGATGTCCCCGTCCTCTGTATTCCTGGGATTCCACACAGGAAGGTCACACCATCTCTCACCATCATCAGGTAGATGGATCCAGTCATGGGAACCCACCAGAGAGATGTCCCCGTCCTCTGTATTCCTGGGATTCCACACAGGAAGGTCACACCATCTCTCACCATCATCAGGTAGGTGGATCCAGTCATGGGAACCCACCAGAGAGATGTCCCCATCCTCTGTATTCCCGGGATTCCACACAGGAAGGTCACACCATCCCTCACCATAATCAGGTAAACTGATGAAGCACAAAAGTTCCCTGAGGCTAACTCAGGCTCTTCTTTCTGTGGATTTTTTTGGTACAATATTTTCTATCATTCTATTTAGCATGAAGAACTCTTAGATATGAACAATGAAACTAAAAAGGAAGAAGAAAAGATGTATTTGAAGGATAATCAGCAGTCTACAGAGGAGGTTGGGATGATAAGAACAATTAAACAGGAGAAACCTTCCGTGGATATCAGCGTAGGTGAGCTATAAACTCTCAATTCAGAAACTATTCAAATTTTCTTTTTTTCCCCTCCTATACATTGAAGGCATGTAGATTGATGATTGAGGATCTGTACACCCTCAAATCACCAAGTGAGATGAAACAGGATTACCAATGGTAGACCAGCTAAGTTCAGACACTGATTACAATCAAGTAACTCATGCTGTCTGACCTATTTCATTTTGATGCTAAAGGGGTGAATTATTAGTTGCATCAAATAAACCTAGACTAAATATTCTGGAAGCTGAACTAAGAGCTGGAGCTGGGAAGTATTAAAATTATTAAATATGGTGGCCTAACAAACGAGGTGGAGCTACACACACCATATGAAAGGTCCATCTCCATTCCTCAATATAACGTCATGTTCCTAACAAATGAGGAGGAGATACTGGACACCATATGAAAGGTCCATCTCCATTCCTCAATGTAATTGTAAACTTTTTTTACCGACAGGTGAACATGATATCCAGAATGACGTAGAGGTAGATCATAAAGCAGAAGATCATGGTCCTACACAATGTTCTCAAGGAGAGAACCCCAAGGAACAAACTATACATTGCCCAGATTCCAATGTAGAGAACTCAATGGATCCCTCTAATCCAAAGAAACTTGAGAAATCCCATCCAATTCTTTCCAATGTTGATACAATAGCTGATCCTTCTAAGCCTGGGAAACCTGAGAAATCACATCCCGTTGTTTACAGTGTTGATGAAATACCAAATCCCTCTGAACTTGAAAAACCTTCCACCAAATCCCACCCAAATATTTTCAGCACTGATAAATCACCCATTCGATCTAATCCTGGGGAATCGTCCTCGGATAAATCGCCTACTGGTAACCCCAAAGGCGATAAGCCATTTAAATGTCTTAAATGTGATCGATGGTTCAGAATGAAGGCAAATCTTGCTAGACATCAGAGCATGCACAAAGAGAAGGTCCCTCTTACACGTGAGGAGGTCTGGAACACTGTCAAAGTGCGTCCTTTTTCCTGTCCAGAGTGCGGGAAACGTTTTGCACGAAAAGGAAACCTCCTTAAGCACCAGAAGATTCGTAAAGGCAAGCACGTTTATCCTTGTTCCGAGTGCAGGAAAAGTTTCATCCATCACGCAGAACTTCTTAAACACCAAAGAACTCACACAGGCGAGCGTCCCTTCACGTGCACAGACTGTGGGAAGGGTTTTGCTCAGAAAGCAACTCTGGACGCACACAGAAGGCTGCACACGGGGGAACGCCCTTTTTCATGTTCAGAGTGCGGGAAATGTTTCAGCGGAAGAGGAAACCTTGCTAAACATCAAAGAGTCCATACAGGCGAGAAGCCTTACTCGTGTTCGGAGTGCGATCGGTCTTTCACGCAGAAAGGAGAACTTGTTAGACACCAGACCACTCACACGGGCGAACGTCCTTATTCGTGCCCCGAGTGCGGGAGACGTTTCCCCTACAAAGGGATACTAAATGTACACCTGAGGCGCCACAAAGGTGAGCGCCCTTATTCGTGCTCGGAGTGCGGGAGATGTTTTCACCGAGAAGGGAAACCTCCTTATGCACATTAAAAGGCACCTGGGAGAGCGTCCTTTCCCATGTCGGGATTGCGGGAGAGCTTTCTCTCTCAAAAGTGACCTTGTTAGGCACCACCTTCGAAAACATGCAGACCAATGAACAGTTTACATGTCCAGAGTGCGGGAAATGTTTCACTGGCAAAAGAGACCTTCGTAAAGCAAAGCTCCAGCCTTGGCTTCAAGCAAGAGACGGCGGTCGAATTTCTTATTGTTTGAGACGTTCTCTAAAAAGTCTCAAGATATTTTTTTTTTAATAAAATTTAAGACGTTTTAAGAGAGTCGTGCCATGTAATCCCTTTTTTTTTTTTTTAATTGGATGGTTCATAGCAATTGAAATATTTTCCTCAAGTCTATACCTTTTTCAAACCCAGATATCTCTTTGTAAAAGCAGCTGTGACATCATCACTGCACAAGAGTGGGAGGGGCCCAGCAAGCCACATCCATTACAGGCTGGCTGCAGAAAACTACAGGAGGGGGCGGAGCCCAGACCGGTCACCCTGCTCAAGTAGAGAGAGCCTCAGTGACCGGTCTTTATTACAGGAAGCTGCTACACAGAAGTAACGTTCACCGATCTGAAAGAAATACTGAGGCAGCGCCCTCCTACATGGTCTGTGAGGGGCTTCTTCTGTAGCCACAGGGACCAGGATTGGGTAGTTTGGTCTGCTGAAGACCCCACAGGTTGGGGGGTTTGTATGACCTCCCTCTATCTCTAGGAGAATCTTCAGGAGATTGGGGTGGGAGGATTCAAGTATCCAATACCTGGTAAGGTGTGCCCAGAAGGTGGATGGGCTGCTGGTAAATAGGAGGAGAAGTTCTTCCTGGATCTGTGAGCTCCAGGGGTGGCTTGCCCTCGAATACTTCTGGGTTGGACGCTGGACTTCTCTGTCCTCTTACAGGTCCTCTTTAACCGATTTCCCGACTGCCCTACAGCAGAATTACTGCTACAGGGCGGCACGGGTGCGAAAAGTCACGTATATGTATGTATGTATATACTGTGTACATATATTTATATGTACAGGTGAAACTCAAAAAATGAGAATATGGTGCAAAAGTTCATTTATTTCAGTCAGTGCAGCAACTTAAAAGGTGAAACTAATAAACTAATATATGAGATAGACTCATTACATGCAAAGCAAGATAGTTCAAGCCGTGATTTGTCATCATTGTGATGATTATGGCTTACAGCTCATGAAAACCCCAAATCCACAATCTCAGAAAATGAGAATATTGTGAAAAGGTGCAATATTCTCGGCTCAAAGTGTCCCACTCTAATCAGATAATTAAGCCATAACACCTGCAAAGGGTTCCTGAGCCTTTAAATGGTGTTTCAGTCTGGTTCAGTAGGAATCACAATCATGGGAAAGACTGCTGACCTGACACCATCATTGACACCCTCCATAAGGAAGGAAAGCCTCAAAAGGTAATTACAAAAGAAGCTGGATGTTCCCAAAGTGCTGTATCAAAGCACATTAATAGAAAGTTATGTGGAAGGGAAAAGTGTGGAAGAAAAAGGTGCACAAGCAGCAGGGATGACCGCAGCCTGGAGAGAATTGTCAGGAAAAGGCCATTCAAAAGTGTTGGGGACTTTCACAAGGAGTGGACTGAGGCTTGAGTCAGTGCATCAAGAGCCACCACACACAGACAGATCCTGGACATGGGCTTCAAATGTCGTATTTCTCTTGTCAAGCCGCTCCTGAACAACAAACAGCGTCAGAAGCGTCTTACCTGGGCTAAAGACAAACACACCTGGTCTGTTGCTCAGTGGTCCAAAGTCCTCTTTTCTGATGAGAGCAACTTTTGCATCTCATTTGGAAACCAAGGACCCGGAGTATGGAGGAAGAATGGAGAGGCACACACTGCAAGATGCTTGAAGTCCAGTGTGAAGTTTCCACAGTCTGTGTTGATTTGGGGAGCCATGTCATCTGCTGGTGTTGGTCCACTGAGCTTCATTAAGTCGTCCACCAGGAGATTTTGGAGCACCTCATGCTTCCTTCGAGCTTTATGGGGATGCTGACTTCATTTTCCAGCAGGACCTGGCACCTGCCCACTGTTGGTTATGTGTTATAGAAGACACTGGCAGTGATGAGGCAGAACTATGACAAATCCACAATCTCAGAAAATGAGAATATTACATGCAATCAATAAAACAAGGATTGTACATAGAACAATATCGGACCTCTGAAAAGTAGAAGCATGCATATGTACTCAGTACTTGGTTTGAGCCCCTTTTGCAGCAATTACTGCCTCAATGCGGCGTGGCATGGAAGCTATCAGCCTGTGGCACTGCTGAGGTGTTATGGAAGACCAGGATGCTTCAATAGCAGCCTTCAGCTCTTCTGCATTGTTCGGTCTCATGTCTCTCATCTTTCTCTTGGCAATGCCCCATAGATTCTCTATGGGGTTCAGGTCAGGCGAGTTTGCTGGCCAATCAAGCACAGTAATCCCACGGTCATTGAACCAGGTTTTGGTGCTTTTGGCAGTGTGGGCAGATGCCACGTCCTGCTGGAAAATGAAGTCAGCATCCCCATAAAGCTCGTCTGTGGAAGGAAGCATGAAGAGCTCCAAAATCTCCTGGTAGACGGCTGCGTTGACCCTGGACTTAATGAAGCACAGTGGACCAACACCAGCAGATGACATGGCTCCGCAAATCAACACAGACTGTGGAAACTTCACACTGGACTTCAAGCATCTTGCAGTGTGTGCCTCTCCATTCTTCCTCCATACTCCGGGTCCTTGGTTTCCAAATGAGATGCAAAAGTTGCTCTCATCAGAAAAGAGGACTTTGGACCACTGAGCAACAGACCAGGCCTGTTTTTCTTTAGCCCAGGTATGACACTTCTGACGTTGTTTGTTGTTCAGGAGCGGCTTGACAAGAGGAATACGACATTTGAAGCCCATGTCCAGGATCCGTCTGTGTGTGATGGCTCTTGATGCACTGACTCCAGCCTCAGTCCACTCCTTGTGAAAGTTCCCAACACTTTTGAATGGCCTTTTCCTGACGATCCTCTCCAGGCTGCGGTCATCCCTGCTGCTTGTGCACCTTTTTCTTCCACACTTTTCCCTTCCACATAACTTTCTATTAATGTGCTTTGATACAGCACTTTGGGAACATCCAACTTCTTTTGCAATTACCTTTTGAGGCTTTCCCTCCTTATGGAGGGTGTCAATGATGGTGTCAGGTCAGCAGTCTTTCCCATGATTGAGATTCCTACTGAACCAGACTGAGAGACTGAAGGGAAATGTATGTCTTTTAGGTCTTTCATTTTGTTTTCCCCACTCCATTTTATATTTTGTACTAACATGTTGGTTAATTGTTTTGTATTATACCCAGAATGAGTTAATGAAAATATGCTGTGTTAGGTTAGCCTTGGTAGAGGAGATAATATCCAATTATTTCTTTATACTAACAGCACCTGTTTCTGTTATGATATAATTAAAAGTCAAATACTTCTGTCCTATGGGAAAATAATTGTTGGATACTTGTAACTGATTTCAAGGCCTGAGAAAGTCATGTTCACAGCCTTGACAAGTATCTAGCGAGATTCTATTGTATGTAGTAGATAAGTGTTTTAAAACAATGTAGAAACTTTCTTTATTGTTGGGAAAGTGAAACCCCGCTTCTCATCACTTTTCAGAATTGACGTCAATGTTGTCTTTTTGTATTCAGCCAATCAATTACTGACAACTCAGCTTTTTGATACTCTGTGCCCCCACCTTTCTTTTTTCTGTTATATTAATTTTCTTCCCACTAATAAACTAGAGAGATTGATTTTACCTATCACTGTGTGTATGTGTATGTCTGTTGTCTTTCTCTTCTGAGATGAAGTTAATCTCCCCAACGCGTCCGTACCTGAAACCGACTAAAAAGACTAAATAGCCAGGGGCTATCGACAACCTTTCAGAGACCATTTAACCACCTCCCGTCCGGCCGTTGTATATAAACGGCCGGAAGGTGGCAGTGCAGGGTCGGGTGGCCGTTCATAAACGGCCTCCCCGCACCCTGCTTGTGCGCGCTCCCTGGGAGCGCGCAGCACCGCGATCCGGTGCCCGCTGTGTCCTCCGGACACAGTGAAACACCGATCGTCGGACGGGACCTCTGTACGAGGTCCCGATCATGTGATCACTGATTGGCCAATCAGTGATCACATGCAAAGTAGTAAGCAAGATGTCACTTGTGACATCATTGCTTACTACGTGTGAAATCTGTGAATGATCACAGAGGTCACATGGTACAAGCCTATTCACAACAGGCTTGTACCATGTGACAAGCTGTGACCAATCACAGCTCAGTCAGTACTTCTCAATGAGTGCATGAATGCACACAGAGAGAAAGAGAAATGATTGCTTTTACATCCTATATGGGTGTAAAAGCAATGTGTAAAAAAAAAAAAAAAAAAATCTTCATCACCCCCCACAAGTAGTACAGTGTCACCATGGTGACACTGTACTGCTAGGGTGACAGTATATAAAAAAATAAAATAAAATAAAAAATAATATAAAAAAAAAAATAAAAATGTAAAAAAAAATGTTTTAAAAATTATAATTTTTGTTATAAACTAATTTGGATTTTTTTTTTTTACTAAAATGATAACGGAATAAATTTTGGCAAAGATTTATGATGAAATATTATTTATTTGCAAAATTTTATTAAAAAAACACTTTTTTTCAAAATTTTTGGACTTTTTCATTTACATAGCAAAAAAAATAAAAATCCCAGTGGTGAATACATACCACCAAAATAAAGCCTTATCTGTTTCAAAAAAATGGTAAAAAATTCATTTGGGTACAGCTTTGCATGATTGTGTAATTGTCATTCAAAGCGTGATAGCGCTGAAAGCTGAAAATTGCCCTGGTCAGGAAGGGGGTAAAAGTGTCCGGTCTTGAAGTGGTTACAGGCTCAGGAACCCTTTGCAGGTGTTATGGCTTAATTAGCTGATTAGAGTGGGACACATTGAGCCGAGAATATTGCACCTTTTCACAATATTCTCATTTTCTGAGATTGTGGATTTGGGGTTTTCATGAGCTGTAAGCCATAATCATCACAATGATGACAAATCACGGCTTGAACTATCTTGCTTTGCATGTAATGAGTCTATCTCA